ATCATAAGAAATTGTTGGAGATAAAATATTTCAGGGGTCATACAGGGCACTGCTAAAATACCATCTATCGTTGTTGAGTGTTCAAAAAAAATAAGACATACTCTATATATCTTATGTGTACTGAAGGGTGATGAACAGGAGAAGTCCCTTTCAACACTCCTTAGTTGTCATCTTATTACACAAAGCTGATAATAATTGTTCTAATTATAGCTAATCAGTCAATAAACAATGCTATAAGGACATGGTTCTAATTATAGCTAACCAGTCAAAAAATTATTATAAGGACCAAATTCAAATTGTAACTAACCAGTCCAAAAATCTTATAAGGACCTGGTTCAAATTTTGACTAAACAAAACCAGTGAAAAAAAAATATGTAACAATGACCTGATGCAACTGTAACCAGTCAAAAAAAAATTAAGGACTGTTTCAAATTGTAACTAACCAGTTAGAAAACTACATTATAAGGCCTGTTGCAAATAGCCTTTGCATTATCTATACTTGCTTATAGGTTCAAACTGAAAACAACACATATGTTGATATGCCAAAGGGTAATGCACCTGCCAATTAGGGTCTATGTTCTTTGTTCTACTGATTATTCCTAACAAATTCAAAAGACTCAGATTTTCTGCTGCATTATGTGACAGCAGATCTGGGTCTGTGCAGTTTGCAGTTGGACTTTTTATTCAAGTACATGTAGTAGGACTTTTTATTCAAGTACATGTAGTAGGACTTTTTATTCAAGTACATGTAGTAGGACTTAGAAGCAAGTACATGTAGTAGGACTTTTTATTCAAGTACATGTAGTAGGACTTAGAAGCAAGTACATGTAGTAGGACTTAGAAGCAAGTACATGTAGTAGGACTTAGAAGCAAGTACATGTAGTAGGACTTAGAAGCAAGTACATGTAGTAGGACTTAGAAGCAAGTACATGTAGTAGGACTTAGAAGCAAGTACATGTAGTAGGACTTTTTATTCAAGTACATGTAGTAGGACTTAATAGTGAGTACATGTGGTCAATTATACTGTTAGGAAAACATTTTTTAAGCAAAAAAATTCTAAACTTTAAATAGTTATTTAAACAAATTTTGTTATATAGATCAAAGTGATATGCACTAACTATCTCATAGTGCTTTGAAACGTTAAAGGCCATTTTATTCATCTTGTGCTTTTCTCCCATGAAATGCATCCATTAAAACTGTCAAGTATTTTTTTATGTCCATACTGTCAAGTATTATTTCATGTCCATACTGTCAAGTATTATTTCATGTCCATATTGTCAAGTATTACTTCATGTCCATACTGTCATGTATTATTTCATGTCCACACTGTCAAGTATTATTTCATGTCCATACTGTCAAGTATTATTTCATGTCCATATTGTCAAGTATTACTTCATGTCCATACTGTCATGTATTATTTCATGTCCACACTGTCATGTATTATTTCATGTCCACACTGTCATGTATTATTTCATGTCCACACTGTCAAGTATTATTTCATATACATACTGTCACATTATTTCATATACATACTGTAAAGTATATTTCATGCCAATATTATCATGCAGAAACATGATGTTCAAGTCCATATTAGGAAAAATCATTCCAACAAAATTGTTGTTTACTGAGTATTCACCATTATAAATAAGATGAATTGCTAATGGCAGGTGTGGTACCATACACCTCAGCTCCAACTGTGGACACCATATCTACACATGTTGAAAGGAATAGGTCAAACCAAATCAAACCAGTCATACTCTTTAACAAATTCTTGTGTTTATACTTGTACATATTCAATAGTGGTGTGATAATAATTTAAAATAACTACAAAGACTGATTGGTCAGACAATTCAAATTTGGCTATGACTTTCTATAACTGAATATACATGTAAAACATGTAAAGAAAATCTTCCAGTCAACAGTCATGGGTTGTTTGGTACAATACAATGAAGTGCCAACAACACAAACATATGTGCCTGTCAAGCCATTAATTTTCATTGTTTTTAAGTAGGACCCAATGGATAAAAGTGACAGCTGTTACAAAGCATATGAAAATTATGCTGTTCAAGAACAAATATTTCAAGGTAATTAAAAGTAATAGTTGACTGGTTATAATGATCCAATCATATGTTTAAATTTCAAATTATTAAAACTGATGATTGATTGGTTATAATGAACCAATCTATTCATTTTTAACTGATTAAAACTGATTGTTGATTGGTTACAATAAGCCAATCATCAATCTTTTAATTTTTGACTGATTAAAACTGATTGATTGGTTGTAATAAACCAATCATCATTGTTTAAATTTCAAAAATTACTAATCAGTGTCCAATATGATTAAAATCAAATCTCCACTTTCCAAGGTGAAGATCTAAAAGCAACTGCTTTGGGGTCATTTTCTGGTGACCACTGAATTGACCACTGCAAATGCATTAAAAAAACTGAAAGTGAATCAAATCATTCAGAACACAATAATGCACTTCAGCCACACTGCTCAGTCTCCCAAATGCAAAGATATAAAACTTCATCTGATTGGCAGATAAAATCAGCAAGTATGAAAATAGCAGGTCACCAGAACATGTTCCCTAAGCAGTTGCCGTCAAATCTGCACTGAGGAAATTGGAGATCTGAGTTTAATCTGGACTGAATTAGTATGCATACCATGTATATTTGCATGCAAGTCTGATCAAACTGTCAACTGCATAGATCCAAATCTGCCATCAGATCATGTACCAGCAAATTCAAGTTTATGCAATTAGTTAGGATTGATATATATATATATATATATATATATATATATATATATATATATATATATATATATATATATATATATATATATATATATATATATATATATATATATAATGTATTTTTTGTACACAAACTCCTGCCTTTTTCTTGTAAGATTTACTGTAAGCCTGCCGTGTTAAGCATTGCACTAATAAAACAAGACATAAATTTTCTCTGGTTAAAAACCTTCAAGGGACAAGTCCCATTTAGAGAATAACATTCCTAGGGTTACATTCCTTTGTATCTCCTTGGGCAAACCAAGCACAGTAACTATTGTACATGACAATAAAATGTTTTCAAAAAGACAGAATTTATTAAGATTAATCACAAGCAAATCCCACATTAAAAGGCAACTGTTTGGTCACCCTGCAAACAATGAAATGTGTTGGCATATGTTGGGGGCAATGAAAAAGAAAAGAAAATCTGGGTAGGAAGTGTTTTTGAATGACTATTTTAGATACTCTCTTTCAATCATGAAGTAAATCACAAGTGAGTAATCCATACACACATGGTATATATAATTCACACTTAAATTTTAACAAATCCTTATGGGATGAAATAAGATCAGATATATCAGATACACTGAAAACAAATGAATTCCTCCTTTAAAAGGTATAATTTGTCCAACAAAAGAAACGCCTTTCAAGAATCATCAATTTATATAATGACAAACTATCCTCATACTTGTACACATTAAAAAAAAAAATGCTACAATGCGCCATTTTTGTTCCAAGTCAATGTGCAGCAAAGCTACCTTGCCTATACAACTTGGAATTGGGATACACCAAAAGTGCAATATGACAAAATAGCAACTGAAACCCTATTTCTAAATGAGTGCTTCTATTTAATGTACTGCTAATATATTCTGTGCATGTTGTAATGAAGATGCTGACGACGACGACGACGACGATGATAATGACGATGACGACGATGATGATAATGATTATTATTGAAATTGTTGCAGTCTTCATTGCATTTGTTTTTCTTTAATAATTGTTGGACATTTAAAAAAAATGCAGTGATATCTGCCATGTCCAGAATGTTTAGGGTATTAATGATGAAAAATAATAAAAGTTATGTTGGTGATAAAAGAAAATGAAAACATCTTTGCTTTCTTATTTTAAATGATAATGTTAAAAAAAAAAAACGTACCAGAGACCATATTACTGTTGATGATGATGATGATGATGATGATGATGATGATGATGATGGTGATGATGATGATGATGATGATGATGATGATAACCATTTCATAAAACGAGTATAATTCATAATTAAGCCTCTATTGATTTATTATTTTTATTATTATTATTATTATTATTATTATTATTATTATTATTAGCAAATATTTTGTATGGGTTTACAATTCTTGCCAATTTTTCAATTGACAAAAAAAAAGCGCAGTGGTCCTTCAGTCTGAGAACAACTTTTATATTAAGATATTGATTATGGTGGCTATGTTTGTGATTGGTTGTTTAGTCACAGGTGGGTGATGCAAGGATAATTCAAATTTAAACAAAAATATACGGCCTCTGTTTGGAGTCAGGATGAAAATATTATGAACTGCATATAATAGTTACCTCTGATATCTGCACTGTGGGTCGCTCTTCAGACCCTCCACAAACCGTAAATCCCCACGGGCTCCCCCCTTTTAGTACCACATCAAAAGTTTCAATCCTCATTGGGGCTTTCTGGGTTTTGTTTTCCCCATTGGGCGCCTCTTTATCTCCATCTGAATCAGAACTTGTCTCCAAGTTCGAAATGTCCCCTTCTTCACTCATTTTCAATTGGGGTGTCAGATAAAACCTAACTTATCGTTTCCTAATTTCCATCGTTCAGTAAAATTTCGTTTTATCATTCAAGGTGTGTGAGTTACCCAGCGTGCTGTCGTACCTGCCGTGCACCAGGCGGAAGTTTATACTGAGGTACAATTTTAAACAGAGGGTCTACCTATTATAGTCTGTTCCAATTAAACGCTTATTTGGATATGGTCTTTATCAACTGTAAGTTGGCAACTAAAGTTTAAGATTTCCAGTTGATATGATGGTTGTGTGAGTGTGTGATTTAGATTTTTAACGTAGCTTTAACAATTTTTCAATCATATCGCTACGATGTCTGCAGTGTGACAGTTTATAGTGATGTCTAGCACTGGGGTATCATGCCGCAGACATGTAGCATAGTACCATATTTTAAAGTCTTCGGTATGACTCGGACGGGGTTCAAACCCACGACCTTCCGCATCCGAGACGGACGCTCTAACCACGAGGTCATCGGAGCGGTTAATCTGATGGTTGTAGTGTGGATGTTATTTTGATTTGATTAGTAGTGTTTACTCGTAAACAGCAACTGATACTATGCGTGCTTGTGCGCGTTGTCTGTGTGTGTGCGTGCGTGCGTGTGTTCAAGAAGTTTTCAGTCACATAGCTATGATGTCTGCGGTATTAAAGTTTATAGCGACGTCTAGCATTGGTGCATCATGCCGCAGACAAGTAGCATCATGTCCCACCCAGTCACATTATCCTGACACCAGGCCGACCAGGCCTAGCACAAACCACTTAATGCTAAGCAACAAGCGAGGCAACTGCATGTGCCATTTTTATAAGTCTTTAGTATGACTAGGCTAGGCTTCATACCCGCACCCCACCCCCACTTCCACCCCACCCCTACTTCCACCCGCACCCCACCCCCACTTCCACCCCCACCTCGCATCCGAAGCTGACTCTCGAACCAGAAGGCCACTGGAGTAACTGAGTAATTGACAATATGCAGAACATGATGTGGGCTGTTTTACTAGTCATTTGAATTACGCACCTTGCATATGTAGATGCAACACAACAGCCCACACTGGGGCTGATCATGATATAATTTATACTCATAATGCACTGGTTGTGGGTTTAAGTTAATGAATGAGCCACTTTGTGTTGGAAGGAAATAGTACTGCAATATGTGATCATTAAGATGAACCAACATGCAAAGTTTCATCAGTGTGCATTAATGTTTGATTAATCTTGAAGTATCAGAGCTAGATACAGAAGCTGTAATAAACAATTGGCTGTCAATACATACTTCTTTCGAGCGTAATAAATATGCCACAATGGCCTTCGTTTCTTTTGATTAATTTACTCTTTTTCACGGGCATCCACTTACCAATTTTTATTTGTGTATGTGAAATTGTGTCCATAATATTGAATATGTAACAGACGAATAGCTGAAAATAAATAAATATTAGGACAATTGGGTCATAATGTTTGATATAGTCGAGTTACTCCCCCGTTGACGTTATTTACAAAATTTTTGTTATGAGTCCACACTAAATCGATCCAAATTATTAATGTAACGGCGGAAATTGTGAAAGTAAAAAGTCACCAAAAAATAATATCGTAGTGACTTAGTTTGTGTAATGGTTTATTTATTCTCCTATTCGCCCGCATATTAATTTGCATGGATTTATTTGAAATATATCAAAAAGATATCTAGAATGCGATAAATATATAGCAGAAAATAACAAGTTTCTAAACTGCAAAATTAGGTCACAGTTATTACGTTTTAGCATGGTTGCGTAAAAGTACTTGAGATAAATACACATACCAGTGGTCATGTGCATATGTATTCTCGGTGAACTATGGTAAAGATCGATCTCACCAACACAGACAACATACAGTTCTTCAGATAAAAGTTTCTCTGTTGTATTGATGTTATTTTTAAACACTTGAAATCTTAATTCTAACAATATTTAAGTCTCAAAGTCAGCGGTCGTTCTCACAGTGCCATTTATGAACAGATTCCCCCCCCCTCCAAGAAATGTAAGAAATAGACAGACAGCCAAACCACCAGAACAAGAAGAAATATATATTTAACATTTTCTCTAGAATGAAAAAGGTATGAGTAATCTAAGTTGTGATACAATAGCTGGCTTTGTTTCTCATATGAACACATGTCAACTTTCGTGCACGGGAAAGTATGCAATATCTTATAAATAAAAAGACCATCATCAGGGACCCCGACAATGGAGTTTGCATCTACATCTTGGTACAAAACTCAAATATTTGTAATTGTTTTACTATACATATAAGACATGACAAACATACGGACTCGGGGTCTGCTTATTTGTACCCTAGGATGTAGCTTTCTTTAGCTATCGTCCTGGAAGAAGTTACTCTTGCCTTGTGTGTGCAAAAGATCTGCATCAACAAATGTTATTTGAAATGGTCAAATATTTTTAAAACTATATTCATTAATAACCTTAGCATTTATTGTCTTTCCTATTTTTTTGAAATAGTTTATGAAAAGTTACCTTGTCATAATATTTATATTCCAGTGTATGACTGACTGTATTCGAAACATGTTAATTTAGAGGAAAAAAAATAACAATTTATTTTTACAATTTCGTAGAATACGTTAGTATGTCTTAACATGGAAGCGGATTTTTTTTTTTGAGGCGTAAATCGTTTACTGAACTCTACAAATTATATGATTCACTTACTTTCTCACGTGTCTATGTGCATTTTGCATGCGTTTCTGTAAACACCTTTTTAAAAATGTCTAAGTTTTGTAAGTACCATTGACAACTTCTATTCTTTACTACTACCGTAATCTGCTAAAAAATTTTTTTACAATCCTCAGAACTTAAACTTCCGTCGCTAATAAGAAGACAAATAGTTTCACGTTTCTAACAAGTTATAATTAAGAAAAGGTCTGTACTACGCTCAACCCATGCATAATGTGGAATAATATAACCTACAGTGACCTTTTCTACTGTAATTAGAATGCACGTGAGAACATTATAATAACAGAGAAAGCACGCGACAAGGCTCTACCCCAAGGAATATCAGGTGCTGTTTTGTATATTGATGACGATTTTTAATAACCCGATTAAATAAATCAATATTTATTAGAGAAATATCACGAAGCAACAAGCAATTTTTCTAATCTCATTCAATACAAACTGTGAGTTGTGTATTGTGTATAAGAAAATGTAATAACACGTCGCCGACAAATACTATCCAGTAAATAGTGTGGAAGAAAATTTCACGATTTCGTGTCGCCTACTTTCCCTTTACCTCGTGAACATCCGGCTGCCTACAAGATTTACTTAAGTGCAAATATCTATTTTGCGGAAACGAAAGTGAGTGGCAGTCTGACAATCAAGCGCTACAACTCCGTTAAACGATGTTTAATTCTAACCTTCAGACTCAACCAACATCCTTTAAATATTTACTTGCACCCCATGTTTGGTTAAAATCCAATATAATTAAAGCAGGTATTGTACAAAAATAAGAATGGGTGGGACTCGCAATCTGCGTCAAGTTCTCCTCGGTAGTTGGTGTTATAAAACAATTTTTTTTTTACTGAAGACTCGTTTTCGGGAGCTAAAAAACAGCTAAACGACGACACGGAATCGTAACACCGCAAGCATACAGTATTTTATTAAAATAAAGCAGTAAACTAAGTTTCTTTAAAATAAAAATTAATTAAATGATTTATGCTGCAAAAGAGCGGTCGGACATGCTCAGGTTATTACTACCCATTTATACGAAAATTAAGCATTAGTAACTTGAAACCTAGAAAGTACCGTGGACAATGCCACCGGAAATAGTACCGAGGTGAACAGGCATACTGGGAACTTGAAGTTCCAGCATCAAAATTTGTTGTCGTATATCTACGTTTTCCACCAAACGTAATCTTAATGTTGAACCACAAATATTCTTGAAAACAAACATAAACGTAACTTGCATAGTTGTTTGCTCATTTTACATTACATCGAATCCAAGCTTTAAGCACACAACGCCTAATACTGTAGTATGTGCAATTCATGTTAAGAAACTCATCCCCGTATTCTGTAACATGAATGCAATCTGACTATTAACCCATTTTAAAAATTGTTTTTTTATTTTTTAATTTTTTGTTTGCTTTTCATAATTTAAAAGACTTTTAATATATTTCACTTTTAAGCATTGTACCAAAAGAGTGTATAAGAATTATATGTAGTCAACCACATTAATAATCTTTCACACAAATTTTCCTCTTAATGATGTAATTTAGAACCATTACAAACAGTATTTAAAAAAGGAATCATGTTCAGTTTATATTAATTGTTGATTATTTTGTGAAGACAACAAAATATATTTATTTTTTTTAAATATTTAATTTAATTTGAATATTACACGTTCTCAAAACTAGTAATATACTCGTTTAATGATTCATACATTCATACAAACAGGCCTATTCCCACTAGGTCTCTCTCTCTCTCTCTCTCTCTCTCTCTCTCTCTCTCTCTCTCTCTCTCTCTCTATATATATATATATATATATATATATATATATATATATATATATATATATATATATATATATATATATATATATATATATATACCTGGTTATTTTATTTCTATTACAATTGAATTTTTTAATTTGCTGCAAAGTTCGGAAGACTTACACATTTATTTATTGACTGAATGCTGTAGTAAGATATTTGTGCTTCATGAACAAAGGTGTGAGATAAATGAACTCTCGCCCGTTGTCTGTGTCAGTCAGGAACACATGCCACCTGGTACCGCGAAGAATACAAGTCAGCCCATTTTCATTGGCTTTTATATGCCACTCAAATACATATAACATTTAAAATGTAGTAAGAAGATATTATATTCTATATGTCGAGCAATGTGTCTTGCCTACCTGTATACGTGGAATCTGCTGAGTGATAGCATCATGTCTGTTATAAAGGTCAAAAAGTTGTTTGTCGCCTCCTTCGTTGTGTCCATTATGGGTAAAGTTTTATATATTCAGAACAGGGTATTCGGTATAATCAGCTCTCATGAAAAGTAGAATTAAGCATAACCGTGTTGGCAATAATGAAATTCTCTTCTTTTTGTTGCACAGATAAAAATTATCACATTCATTCTAAAGTATACGTTTTGCTTCTTTGGTTTTTGCAGATCATGGATCATGTCATATTTCATACATGTCTGAAAGCATTGTATCCAGCATTACATTTTAAATTTGTGAAGTTCTCAGTACTTGCAGTTCTCTTTATATTTACTGTGTGAACATTCAAAATATCCGTTGGTGCTATCTATTTTGTTAATACATGCACATTACGGTGTCAAGGTCAGGGTCTTTGGCTGACCGTTTACAATTTATGAGGAAATATACATATGGGCTAACATAGTAGTGGATCCAATAGTACCTGATTAAACTATAACAAGTGTAACTGTATCAACGAAGTCTTGAGAGAGAGAGAGAGAGAGAGAGAGAGAGAGAGAGAGAGAGAGAGAG